AATTGGTAAGAAAAACACGGCGTTCCCTCCAAACTTTTTTTTAAGTTCGTAATATATTTTGATAATTTTGGAGATTGAAATAAAAGTGTGCTTCATACATTTATGATATATAATTATATAATGCCTAAAAATAAAAAATGAATTAAATCAAACTGAATTAACTTTTCGTTAAAAAGTTTATCATGTTACTTTCTGTAAAATAGAGAAAATAAGAATCCCTAAAGAACGCTCAAAACGACAAATTGAGAATGTTGCAGGCCCGGTTTGATTGAGCCTGCTCATGTACGGTAATGGAAAGAGCAAGTTATCGTCCACGCCCCCTAGCACCGGCTTAAGCAAAATTCAACATGAACTGGTACAATTTTGAAAAACATCCGCAGATGTGTTAATATGGCGATTATCATGGAACCTTCAATGTGACACGTAAGTGCTATACCCATGAAAAACGGCATATGATCCCCAAGTAAAAAAAAAACACACACTCTGAAATTCAGTAAGAAAAACATGGCGCCCCTACTTACTTTTTGATTTCTTGGTCAAATTTTGATAATAAACAAGATCATCAAGGAAAGGCGGCGTTAATAATAATTTTAGACTCGAGTAAAAGAATCCTTTATGAACTTTCTAGTGATGCCTTAAAAATGAAAATTAATTATGTAGAAGTATTAAAAAAAAATTTGTTTCTAATTTATTCGTTGTTTATTTTTTTTTCTCTTAAATCCACACTCATATATTCGGAAAAAAATAACGTCGCTTCCTTTAGATACTTTATTCAAAAAGGAAATTGAATATATTGAATGAAATTTAAGACCATAAGCTTTGAACAAGTATATTAAAAATCTGGAAAAGCAAAGTGATCCTCGGAAGCATTAATCACAACAAAAATTACATAAGAATTGCAGATTCGGTTTAATCGAGTCTGCACATGAGGGATAATGAACCAAGTGCAACATCCCTCACGCCCCCTAGCACCGGCTTGAACGGTACTCAATTCTCAACACTCAACACAATAGCAGCTGGCATCAATGATCCCGAAGGACCAGAAAAACACTGAAGTGATGTACGGGGCAACTTTTTTACAGCTGCCACACGGCACTTGACACCTGCTGTTGTGAAGTATTAAAATCTGGAAGCAAAGTGATCCCTTCGAAGCATAAATCACTACAAAATTAAGCACAAGAATTGCAGACTCGGTTTGATTGAGTCTGTACATGAGGGATAATGAACAATGTGCAAAAAGTTTTTATTCATACTGAAAATACCTTATTAAAGATTGTACATATGTGCTACGGGGCGGATAAGTATTTTCTTGATTTCGGAAAGGAAATCTCGGTGGCCCGCTTAAAAATCCTATTTTTTGCAAATACTTGCATAGTTTTTTGTTGAAAATGAAATTTGTGCCAGTACATTTTTCAATGATACCAATAAGAATATTGGATGGTTTTACATTATCAATAAAATTACTCCCTTGAAGTTGGTCATTTTCCCCTAAAAATTTCCAAATCGCCGATGTTTTTCTCAGGAATATAATGATAAACAAAGATCAACAAGGAAAGGCGGCGCTCAATGAACGCAACCCTACATGACCCAGCAACAAGAACAAGTGGCAAAGAAGCCCAGGCGGACCCCAAACAAAACACAGGACAGGGCACTAGGCATAGCACGGACAGGCTAATCACTAAATGATAAATAATTTTGTAACTGATAAGAACACGATGTTAAATAATAAGGTAATGCACAAGTTATCTTCATCAATAAATGGTAAAATCAGCAATTTTCAAGTGATGTTGCCGCTAGTGACAAAAAACTCTTTGTAACAAATGTAACATATATATGTTATGAAAAATGCCGTATGTTGTCCTTCAGTTTTATTTAAAAATATGGGAGAGGCGCCGTTTTATACCTGTCCGCAATAAAAGTTCGTAAATACTCCGAGAGGGGCGGGGCGTTATGCTTGACTTAAAATCGTTTAACTTTGTGAATCTACTTTTGTCATTTTAAACATGTTACTGTGTTAACGTACTCTTGTAGTTCTACAACTGGTAACACGTTTTCTTAAACTCTATTTTCCGTATTCGAGTTTTACATTTCATTTGTATATTACAGATCTATAAGTGTACAAACATGCGTATGTATTGCATGCAATGGAAGATACGAACTTGTAAATTTGTTGTCGTTTTAGATGTTAGGTCAGTTGTTACGATATATATGTAAACTTGTTATATAAAGGCGGTAACCTTCAATTAAAAGATTAAATTAAGAGGCATACAATAAAAATGGTAGGCATACAAGTTCGCATTTTCAAGTCATTTTAAAAAGGAACACTTTACATGTCTGGAATTTTGGCAACGAACGCCCTCCATAGTATATCAGGTAGACATTTCGATTTTCCGAAAAAGTTTTTGTCAAATGAATATGTATACATGCATCGAAATAAATAAATTCAGAGAGATAACATGATATTTGATAACGAAACCCATTTTCATATGTGCGCCGTTAAAATCTGAGATATGTTTACCAACTTATGGATGCGGGAACACTTTGACATCTTTTACTATATAAGTGATAGTCAAACGACATTTGTGTCTATTTAATGCTCACCCAAAATGAAAAAAAAAGTCGAAGGAGCGAACTATGGAGGTCGTCCAACACAGCCATATTTGAAATATTACATTATCGGTTTCATAGTGGATAATGTGTGCCCTTACCCACGCCTCCTAGCACTGACGTCTGTTGTCATATATATTGTACTAATTCAATTGCATTGGCAACAGCATTTGGACATAGAACAAAATTACTTCCCCTTTAATCCTTCATTACAAAAACTTACTTTAATCCTCCAATAATTAATTTCCTTTGAACCATAAGTTTCAAGTTATCAGGGAGCATTGCTTCTAAAGACATATCAATCCCTAAAAATAACTTCCCTTTAATTCCTTGGCGGCATTAATAATTACCAGGGAGATTACTCAAACAAATTTAATTATGTTCTCAATAAATTAATTACCCATTCAAGCATCACGTTTTACAGAATTATTCTTCCTAATGGACAGCGCCATTTTGATATCAGGAGGTTTTACTGTAAATTTAGAGGTAAACACAGTTACTAGCAGCAGACGATAGGAAAACAGTATAATTGTGATCATTTAACAAAAGAAGCAAAGTTAAGGGAAAAAACGACAAATATGTTATTACTCATCACACCTTGTATCTGAACTACCATATAAATGTTATTTTGCGTGTTTAGATTAGTGTTTCGGTTTCAGTAATTACACTCCCCTTCCCCTCCCCTTTAAATCGGACGAGTCTATTTGTTAATTGCATTAGAAAAGCATCGTATGGTCTGTTCCAAGGTTAAATTGTCCGATTAGTCCGATTAGTCATAGCCCGTTTTAAGTCAAGTGAAACTACATCGGCATAAAACTGCTTTTTTTCCAGATTCTATACATGGACTCCTGCTTATACATGTTATTGTATTAATAAATTTATTGTTGCCCTAGAAGCTAAACGTGTGTACATCATACACGACTTAATTCCCTTTAAAATTTTGACGTCATTTGTAATTATCAGGGGACATCATTCATACTGACAAATGTTCCCAAAAAAATGACTTCCCCTTGACACTTGGCGTCATTTGTAATCGCCAAGAATGATTAGTCATATCATTTTGTTTAATTTTGTTCTCCAAAATTACTTCCCTTTGAACAGGGTTAGTCACACATACAGACATATATTAATCCTCAGAATAACTTCCCTTTGACCCTATCAAAACAATTTGTAATTACATGTACCAGGGAAGAACCCTCATACAATTTTATTTTTGTTCTTAAGAATAACTTCCCTTTTTACCCTGAAAGGGAGATCACTAACATACTTATATTTATCCCCAGAATAAATTTCCCTTTGACCCCTTAATCGTTGCCATTTCTAATTATCATGGGAGATCATTGCGCCATATAAGTATTCAAACTCCTCGCAGCTGTTACTTCCCCTGATCAGTACAGTAACAACGTAGGTGGAAAAAATTAAATCAGAAATCTTGAAATCCAGGCTATTTGTTGCCATAGCAACCAGAATTTTCAACATAGGAAGAAAAGAAAAAGATGTGCATAATCTGCAGACTGCCATCTACCCATATTTTATGTTTCATAAAAATATTTTCAGTACTTTTTGAGTTATCACTGGATCCAGTTTATGTGTTAAATTTGCCATATTTTCAGACTACAATGTATTTGTTGCCATAGCAACCAGAATTTTCAACATAGGAAGAAAAGAAAAAGACGTGCATAATCTCCATACTGCCATCTATCCATATATCAAGTTTCATAAAAATATTTTCAGTACTTTTTGCGTTATCGCGGGATCCAGTTTTGTGGACGGACGGACTGACAGACAGACGGATAGCAAAGTGTGACGTAACCGCTGTGAGGAGTTTGATAAGTATTGATCAAGGGATGTAACCACCGCGAAGAATTTGTAATGTTTGTTCTCAATTGAACCTGAAATGGAGATTACTGATACTCTTACACTGTTTTTAGTCGCCCATACATTGTACCTACTTATTTTGTTTCCAAACATGACGCCAATTGTAAATATGAGCGGAAATCACTGGCACCAGAGTCCTTAAATAATCATAAATTAAATTACGTTTTACCCATATAACACACATTGCCCGAAATATTATCCAAATTTTTTTCAGACACACCTCGTATACTATCATATATAATTTTCATTATGATAGTCTAAGGGTCGTGTCTGATGAAAGTATAGGGTGTGTGTCTGAAAAAAAAAATTTTGATAATTTTTCGGTCAGTTTTTGTTAGTTTATTTTATGATTATTTTTAATTTAGGACCTTGGTGCATGTGTGACAGACTAAAATTTGTACTTGGGAATTATATATTGTACATCTAATTATCTCAATTTTGAACAATCATAATCACGTTATTAAATTATGTCATGGTACAGAAAATCTGTAAAAATTGACAATCCCCTTTATTCGATTATTCTGTATCAAAGAACATGTTCATGTCGTATGCTATTCAAACCGACCTTTCTGAAGGAAATTGCTAATTTGTGAGTAATTAAGATAAAATCCATCAGTTCTCATTTATTTAAACAATCCTGCGTTTAAGGAAATTAATATGTAATTCTCAGTTTGAATGTATTATTTCTTTTAAATCTTCGTCGCTGACAGGTGCTCTAAAATGCGTGTACAAATATCGACCTAGTTGCATAAAATTCGTCTAGTTCATTTTTGGATAATGCGATTTATAAACGTGTAGTTAGCTGTTACATGGGGTTCAGTGTGATAAGAAAGTAGGTCAATTTCTTAGAGAAAGCGGGTCTGTATTTTGTAAGGAAACCCTGTTGAATGTCAACAGTCAATTGTATTTACACTTCTTATTTTGATATGAGGCCATCCTTAATAATATATATGTTTGCTATTGCCGACCCAGAGTTATAAGGAGTGGGTCGATAGGTAGGCTTTTTTTTTTTGATATATAATTTTTACGGAACGTAAGTTAATACGCTAAGTACGTTGTAGCAGATTGTGGAAAATTGGACTACACTATCATCATCGGCGACGACAAAACTGACATGTAAAAGACAGTCAAAAACAATCAAAAACATGTTCACTAGTAATCATAACATGAAATAAAAAAAATGACTATGTGGACATAAATTCAAGCATGGTCAAATTACCGATGTGATAAACTAATCCTTAGAGCTGTCATTGATTCAGTGCAAAGCATATCAACGATATATCGATATCAAGTGACTAAAATCAACGATACACCGATATATCGATAATATCCTATACTCACTTGTCTGTCATTCACTTTCATACCTGTTTCAATGATTTCAGTCAAAAACATGTTCTGTACAGTGTCTTGTCCACTGCATGATTTTTTCTAGAAAATATTTTTTGTCACCATCGCTATGAAATAATTCCACTATATAACAAAAGCATAACATTAGATAAATAACAGCTTCTGTATATATTTTGGGTGAATTTTATAATTTCTAGACATTTAATTTATTAGTCAAAAGTATCGATTTTTTAGAATGTGTATCGATTATTGATCGGCAAAAAAATATCAATGATACATCGATATTGTCGATATCGATGACAGCTCTACTAATCCTGCGTAAATATTCCCGTACGACCTGAAAAATTATAGTGGATCACCGGGACATTTCGTTCTCTCGGGTGATCATTACTCAATTTATTACTTGTCTGTAAAAAATAACACACGCAAGATTTGTCTCCTATAATTTCTGAATGGCGGATAATTGCACCCCTGTTTTAAAAATGTTAAAATCGTCTGCGCAGAGATAGCTTTGTACACGAGGCCAAGAAACTGAATAGAACTTATGCTGGAAAACTTGGACCTTCTATTATACCACTTGATAAATCTGACCTGCCAACCCCATGGATTAAAGAACTGTCCAACACACATATTAATATGACTGAGCCACTACTACTTCCAAGTACAAAAGATGATGTCACCAAAAAAGCACTCACACTCGCAATGATAGCTGATGAGTACACACAAGAGTCATGGACTCATATCTATAATCTATACAGATGGCTCAGCTACAGCAGCTATAAAAGATGGGGGAGCTGGCATCTACATCCAACATACCAATGGTAAAAGTGACACAGTTAGTGTAGCAACGGGGAAATACTGTACCAACTACAAGGCAGAGTATGAAGCCATCATGACAGCTCTGAAAGTGATTGAAGAGTCTCCAGAGGACTGCCCGCAGATCGTCATATTAACGGATGCTCTGTCGGTACTACAGGCCCTAGAACACCATCAGCTGCCTGAACTATCAGAGGTGCTATCTCGCATGTCACAAACAAGACAAATAGCACGTCAGTGGATCCCCGCACATTGCGGCATCCCTGGAAATGAAAAGGCTGATAAACTGGCAAAGCTAGGAGCGGAAGGTGATCAGCACATGAACCACATCAGCTAAAAGAAGAAGACCAAAACAATCAAAACAGCAATGAGGTGCCAGTCAAACAAGGATGACTACCACTACCTGGACAGGAAGAAGCAAGTAACTATTTTTAGGCTCCGCACAGGTCATAACAGGCTGAACGCACATATGTACAAAATAAAACTAGCTGCCTCTCCCAAGTGATCCTGTGGACGTGACAACCAAACAGCTGAACATCTCCTACAACGATGTCCTCTCCTGGAACAACAGAGAAGAGCGGTGTGGCCAGTGGCGACCGGGATACAAACGAAACTACACGGCGCAATGGAGGAACTGCAGAAGACTGCAACCTTCATCGATGTGACCGGCCTGAGATTGTAGCGGTGAACGAGAAGAAGAAGAAAATGTTAAAATATTTAATTGTTAGTTACCAAAAATTATCGCCGATTGTTGAAATTCCATAGCGCTAAAAGACACAAAAACACTCGCGCATAAAGTAGCATCCATAAATAAAAGGAATATAATGTTTCCATTGTTAAATAATAAATACAAAATTTACACACAAAATGACCTCTGACAAATGACTGGTCGGCTCTTCTGAAGAATCTGTGAATCTTTGATGTTTACACACCTGTAGTTGTTGCCGAATCATCAAAGAAGTGCCGACACTCAATTGACTTCCACCTCTTTTTTATATATCAGAAAAAAAACTGTCATTTCTTTTTGTCAAGGAATGATTACACATGTTTAATTATTGCTCAAGTAAAAAAAAATGTTGGATATTTATTGTGTCAATTATTGACATATTATTAATCGTAAGTGCATTTTGATTGTGATATTTATTTACATTTTTATGATCTTGAAGATATTGTCTGCTATCAAAACAATAATGCATATGAAAGGACCACAGCTTCCAAAAATTTATTTTTTCGGTCAATTTAATGACAGAATCCCCGCTGCTACCAGAAATGTTTTATTGCATGGGCTAAGTATTTAATCTGTGTCGGCAGTCATAAACAAACGAACATGTACCACAAAGCACAATCATTAAAATTACCACATGGTAAACTAGTGACCATATAAATGCTTTACAAATATTCATTAATTGAACAAACATTATTTTTAATCCCGTTTCCACACCTTTATTATTTGATACGTTTTATTATTAGTTAATTCAACTTAATTGCCGCGCGCATGCAGTACTGCGTGACATAAAGAAAATATCCTTCCCTGGTTGGTCGCTATTTATGTAAATACTTTCAATAGTAACACCCTAATTTTATGCACAGAATGCCCTCATGAATGATCACTTGTTACTTTACATATTAAATTTGTGATTTTCCTCCAATTTTATTTTTGTTTTCGAGAGAATTTTTTGGCTGGAATGCCCTGGCTGATTTGGCGGAAATAAAAAAAATCTGATTTTTTTAAGCTGAAAAAAACTTTTGAGTCGGGGCATTTTCGCGGGGTCGGCCGGCAATAGCAAACAGATAATTTTTTAAGAGTGGCCTGAACAGATGAACAAGGTTGATCCTGACAGTAATGGTTAGAATAATTTAAAAGTATTTTATATTAAAATAAAGACTTCAGTTAACTACATTTTTAGCTCACCTGTCACAAAGTGACAGGGTAAGCTTTTGTGATCGCTTTTCGTCCGGCGTCCGTCCGTCAGTCCGTCCGTCCGTCGTCCGTCCGTGAACTTTTACTTTAAATGACATCTCCTCATAAACCACTAAGCCAATTTCATCCAAACTTCACAGGAATGTTCCTTTGGTGGTCACCTTTAAAAATTGTTCAAAGAATTTAATTCCATGGCCATGGCAACCGAAAGAAAAAACTTTAAATATCTTCTTTTAAAAGACCATAAGAGCTAGAGCTTAGATATTTGGCATGAAACATCTTCTAGTGAGTGTCTACCAAGTTTGTTCAAATAAAAGCCCTGGGGTCAAAATTGGCCCCGCCCCGGGGGGGTCATTGATTTTCCCTATATGCATATAGTAAAAACTTATAAAATCTTCTTTTAAAGAACCCAAAGAGCTAGAGCTAAGATATTTAGCATGAAACATGTTCTAATGGGTGTCTACCAAGTTTGTTGAAATAAAAGCCCTGGGGTCAAAATTGGCCCCGCCCCAGGGGGTCATTGATTTTCCCTATATGCATATAGTAAAATCTTAAAAAAATCTTCTTTTAAAGAACTCAAAGAGCTATGGCTAAGATATTGAGCATCAAACATTTTCTAATCAGTGTCTACCAAGTTTGTTCAAATAAAAGCCCTGGGGTCAAAATTGGCCCCGCCCCGGGGGGTCATTGATTTTCCCTATATGCATATAGTAAAAACTTAAAAAATCTTCTTTTAAAGAACCAAAAGAGTTAGAGCTAAGATATTTAGCATGAAACATGTTCTAATAAGTGTCTACCAAGTTTGTTCAAATAAAAGCCCTGGGGTCAAAATTGGCCCCGCCCCGGGGGGTCATTGATTTTCCCTATATGCATATAGTAAAAACTTAAAAAATCTTCTTTTAAAGAACCCAAAGAGCTAGAGCTAAGATATTAAGCATGAAACATCTTCTAATGGGTGTCTACCAAGTTTGTTCAAATAAAAGCCCCGGGGTCAAAATTGGGTCCGCCCCAGGGGGTCATTGATTTTCCCTATATGTATATAGTAAAAACTTAAAAAATATTCTTTTAAAGAACCAAAAGAGTTAGAGCTAAGATATTTAGCATGAAATATCTTCTAATGGATGTCTACCAAGTTTGTTCAAATAATTTGTGCAAATAAAAGCCCTTGGGTTAAATTGGCCCTGCAATGTTGGGGGTGGTTGGGGGGGCCTATATACAGGTGAGCGACCTCAGGGCCATCATGGCCCTCTTGTTTAAAGATACCTTGACAAAATCATGACGTCTTTTTTTTAATAATACAGAAAGACACAAACAAGAACTGAAAGGTACTATAAGGTACCTTAATAAAAGCTTAATTTTCCTGAATAAATAAAAGAAAATTGACATTTTATTTCGTAAACAGACATAATGCAAACAAAACTCTTACCATTTGTATTTTGTCAAGAAATTTAACAGGTCTGTAAATCATATTTTCAGTTACTGTATATGATAATGATTGGTCTTGATAATAGTAATGAAGATCTGTGGTTGACTATAACTTATAAGCTTCTATTTGCATACTATAATTGATGTTGATTTTCTTTTGTTTTCTAAAGGGAATCCTATGATATTTTTGTTTACACACAATGACTTAATGACCATTATCCTGTAATTAACTTTGTCATCACAAATTGTTCTTTACTTTCAGGAAAACCATCAGGATGAAACTGTTACACAGCTGATATGTGAGACAACAGGCCAAATTTGTCCCATTCATTTCAGTATGGAAGACCTGTTAGTATTGATTTTATTATACATTTATGAGTATTGAATTTCCCAAAGTTGTTGTTAGCTACATGTATGTGTCTTTTGCTGCTGGTTGACATGTAGATTTTGGTTTTGATTGACCGTGAATCTCCTGAATTTCTTAAATCAGGGGTGTTTTTTCTCTTATACATGTATAACTATATATATAAATACTAGAAAACAGTACCATGTCCCAATAAAAAATAGACTCTGAAAATTCCTGTTCAAAATCTGTAAATTAAAAAGGTAAAAAAAATAGTAATATCTCCAGAATTTGTTTGCTACTGGCACCATTCCCAAAGTAGAGGGAAAAATGCTGTAAATGGATATATCCTTCTTCCAAGTTTGGAACAATCCATAATCAATTTTGAGGATATTAAGATGAAAATTTGACTCACATGCAGGCTAGCCTGGCTCTATACTGGTGACAAATGATTTTGCATAATTTCTTGTCTACATAATCGTTCTAGGACAAATTTCATGAGATCAGCAAGTTTATTGTTTATAAAAATAGTCTGTCTTTGATAAGAAACTATATTGGTCTCAGAGGTGTTTATCGGCTGTTTAACAATGAATGCATGTGCATGAAAACAACAAACAGATGTTGGGGGTGTGAGGGATGTTTCACATTTTCATAATCCCTTATGTCCTAGACCCAATCAAATGGTGTCGGCAATTTTTATGTTATTTTGATTATTTTAATGCTTCTGAGGAATCACTTTTTCCAGATATTTCAATAGACGATAAACACCACTCAGACCAATATTATTTTAATTCTTAAAAGACAAAATCAGGGAGATCACTAGTGCTATTTTTTAAAGCAGAGATTATTTTGCTGTTGATTTTGGTATCAGGCTGTTCTATTTCACACCCATCTGTCGCTAAGGTATAAAAATGTTTAAACAAAAGAAATAATAAGGAAAAACTTACATGTCAAACTGGATTGTATTGTGTTTACATCAGTGCCTGATAAATTAATTTTCATCCCCACCCATGTCATTTCAGTGTCTTTATGAATGTTTTGTATACTTGTACTTTGGGTGATGTCATTACTCTGCTTTTAAATTGCCTTAGATTTTTGTAATGTAGATTATATTAACTTATATGGATAAAACCTGTGTGAATGGAAAATATCAATAAAAATATGTTATTATTATTGCCTTAAAAGGCTACCATTTTTTTCTTCTTGTATATATGACAAAGCCACAAGGCATGTTAGAATGTTGTATATCTGTTTAATTGCTTGTTTTCAGGAAAATCTACGAAGCAGCTGGCTGCAATGATAACACATTTGTTCAAAATGCTCTAGATGGGAAGTATGGGGAATTATTGAAGGATGACCTTGAACTTGCTTTACACATGGCTGCTGCCAATGGTCATCTTGATTGTGTTTCCCTCTTGCTGGATCATAAAGTAAGTGTTCATGCAAGAAATGGCTCAGAGGAAACACCATTGATACTTGCAGCTCAGGGTGGTCATGACGATTTAGTAAAGAAGCTTCTTGAAAGAGGAGCAAGCATTCATGATCAAAACTGCATGGGTTATACACCTCTTATGAAAGCGTGCGAGTTTGGTCATATCCGGACTGTGGAACTGTTGTTGAAACATGGTGCTAGTGTAAATCACATGGAACATGGAGGAGATGAGCACCATGGTGTTCCAAATGGTCTTCCAAATGGCTCAGCGAAAAATTTACTACCCAAATATATGCCTCATGGTTATACAGCCTACATGGTCCTGGTGCTGAAACAACCGGAAAACTATGAAAAGATTTTGAAATTATTGATTGAAGCTAATATGCCAGTGAATGAAATGGACTTAGAAAATACGACAGTTTTGTTACATGCTGCTAATAGGTGTTCTGCTGATGTACTCGAGATGTTATTGAAGGCAGGAGCTGATGTGAACACCTGTGACGTCTGGGGTGTTACGCCATTAATCAGTGCGGCAGCTTATAACAAAACAGAAAATGTGAAAATTCTTCTCAGGTACGGAGCTGATGTTTCTATCGTTTGTAAAGCAAAGAGGACAGCTCTTTCTGTGGCAACTAGAACAGGTACTGAAGAGCTCATTCAGACCATCTTAGAGGCAGGGGCCGACCCGGAACACAAGAATGCCCATGGTGGAACTCCCTTCTTCATTGCACTAATGCACTTCAACTACTCAGCAATTAAATGTCTATTGAAAGCAGGTTGTGCTCTTAATGTCACCTGCCGTGATATGACAACACTTAAAGTGATGAGCTATTTTGAATGTGCGCTGTCTCGTAAAAGTGTGCATATGATTGACATGTTGTACAAAGCAGGTGCTTGTTCGAATAAAGATATTTTCAGGGTATATACAGATGAAACGTTCAAAGAGCAATGTGCAGATCAACCTGAAATTATTGATTTATTGACCCGAATGGCATCAGCGCCAAAATGCTTACGATGCGTTTGTCGGAAAGTTGTTCGGGACAACATAGCTCGACCTCTGCCAAGGAGTGTCTCTTATCTTAGTCTACCAAAGACATTGAAAGATTATCTGCTGTACTCTGATATCATTCTTCCTGTAGATTAAGTATGATTTGAACAATTAGCAGCTCATTTAGAATATTTCATTGAACAATTTACCTGCTGAATTTATGTAATGGCTTTGTCCTGCTTTGAATTTGGTACAGTCCATTCAAAGTTTAAGGGAGTTCAGTATCAAAATACTGTGTTTAAGCTACTAACAGCATAGAGCCTGGGTAGATTGTACAGATGTGCAGTCTGGCTTAGCTCTTTACTTGTGGTAAAGGCTTATCATTTTCAGTTCTAGCAGGTTAAGAATTATGGCCTATGAAACATACATTGTACATGCATTTTGTACATGCTGTTTGTTTGAATTAAACTTAGTTCTTGAAACTTGTGCTAATATACATGTTCATTGTTGATGTCTCCTATAGATAAATAAAAAAAAAGCCACATAAAAAACTTTGAAAAAGAAAATATAGATATTAATATATGGTATATCAATGTACGGTATTCATTGTGAAATTCCTTGGTCTTGGAATAATTTTTGTGTTTTTGTTATAATATTTTCATATACAGAAGCAGTTTTGTTAATGTTTTGGTTTGTGGATTTTGTTGGCAACATTTATTAGTCAATACTTAGACCATAGTTTATTTAATTACTTACTTTTTTCATTAAGTTAAATAACTGCCAATATTGTTTGATATGACATACTAGTAATTGCCAAATTAGAAGACAGGTTGTTGTAGACAAGACAAATGTTTGTATATCATGTTCAAAATCTGATTTTTTTTCTGTCTAAGGTAAATATTGCAGATGGACAAGTTGTCCTCTTAATTATTATACCCCCGCACAACAAAGTTGTAAGGGGGGTATACTGGAATCAGGTTGTCCTTCCAGCCGGCCGTCGGTTTTTCCTTGTCCGCCCAATAACTAAAGATTCCTTTGACCCATAGTCTTCATATTTGGCATGGAGGTTAGTCATGATGAGTAGATGACCCCTATTGATTTTGAGGTCACTGGGTCAAAGGTCAAGGTCACAGGGGCCTTGACTAGAAAAAGCTTGTCCGCCCAATAACTTAAGATTCCTTTGACCCACAGTCTTCATATTTGGCATGGAGGTTAGTCATGATGAGTAGATGACCCCTATTGATTTTGAGGTCACTGGGTCAAAGGTCAAGGTCACAGGGTCTTGACTGAAAAAAGCCTGTCTGCCCAATAACTTAAGATTCCTTTGACCCACAGTCTTCATATTTGGCATGGAGGTTAGTCATGATGAGTAGATGACCCCTATTGATTTTGAGGTCACTGGGTCAAAGGTCAAGGTCAAACAGGCCTTGACTAAAAAAGCTTGTCCGCCTAATAACTTAATATTCCTTTGACCCACTGTCTTCATATATGGCATGGAGGTTAGTCATGATTATTAGATGACCCCTATTGATTTTGAGGTCAAAGGTCAAGGTCACATGGGCCTTCACTAAAAAAGATTGTCCACCCATTAACTTAAGAATCCTTTGACCCAGTTTTCATATATGGTATTGAGGTTGTTTATGATTATAAGATTGATTTTGAGGTCACTGGGTCAAATTGACAGGGACCTTGACCTAACAAAGTCTGTTGGCTCAATTGCTTAAGAATGCTTTGGTCAACAGTCACCATATTTGGTATTGAGGTTGTTTATGACTAGTAGATGACCCCTATTGATTTTTAGGTGACTGTGTCAAAGGTCAAGGTCACAGGGGCTTTTACTACAATAAGCTTGTCTGCTCAAATGCTTAAGGTCCTCAGTGTATTGATTTTGACATTTTCACATTTGAAGCATGTAGAATACATAACTTAGCAATGCACTAGCTTACTAACCTCAGATTTGGCAGGGAAGTTGTCCTTGAGCTCTAAATGGCTACCGTTGATTCTGACAAAGTGGTATGCAGGGGTATTCACGCCAAGACAGTGGCAGTTCTAGTTACATTAGTTAATTTAGGATTCCGCTAAAATACTGTTAACTTTCAACTTCAAGTGCTATTTGGGCAGTTTATGCAAGAAGTAACAAGGTAGATGAGGAAAAGAAAACAATTCATAAAAAAATCAATTCACAAAAACACCTGAATTGTCAACTATGACACTGTTTTGTGAAATATCAGAATTTAAAATAAGCATCTTTATATGGGTTCACTTAATTAACAGACCTGCCTAAAGAAAAAAAGAAGAAGAAAACGTTTTGATTTGATGTCACAAATTCAAGAAACATATTGTACTGAAGGAAAGGGAGATTGAATTTGTTGAAAATTCTCAAATGTTGCTCTAATATTCGATAATTTTAAATTTATCTGTTTTGGGTAATGGCTGTAGCCAGATATAAGTATATATACATTTACTCCAGATAATTGATTGTTAAATGATATTACATAATTATTCTAGTCTTGTCAATAAATAGTTTATGGGATTGAAATATATGTCTGATCAGGGTGTAAGGTTATAAAGGAATTTTCTTATCTCAAACTCAGAACTCCAGTCCAGTAGCTGATTGGTGGGATTAAAACGATAAAATTGGGCAGCTAGGCCATTATGTAGCAGTGTAGAACAAAGTTTGGCAGCACAGAAGTGCTTGCTTGTCTGATTTTATAATGATGGTAAAATTATCACAGCTAGCATTAGATATATACAGTCATGTATAGCAATACTTTATGTTCATTTGAAGTACGTCAGAGCAAGTTTTATAATAAATGGTTGTTATTTTCTGACAGGGAAGTCTGTTTAACATGATTACAAGAATTCTATTTGACCTTTCTAAAGCAGTATTGCCTTTAAACAGTTTGAATGTTAGTAGCCACAATGACTTGCCAATGCTTATAGGGTACATTATAACCAGAACCTCAGAACCCCTTTAGAACAATTACCTCAGATTTCAGATTTTTCCAAAATAAGATTTCCCAGAAGAGTCAACCTTTCTAGAGCAACAAATCAAGATGCAACCAAAATATTGCCCCTGTCGTTCACACTGTATGCGCTGCTCCTTAAACATACCTTTTATAGCTGATCAAAATTATCCTTTTATTCATTTTACAGATAATTGTAAGAATTTGTATAATTTTTTACTGTATTTATTATGCCCCCATTTCGAAGAAAAGGGGGTATATTGCTTTGCACTTGTCGGTCCGTCGGTCCGTCGGTCCGTAGACCAAATGGTTTCCGAGTGATAACTAAAGAACCCTTAGGCCTAGGAACTTCAAACTTGGTATGGTGATTGGTCATGACCAGTAGATGACCCCTATTGATTTTGGGGTCAATGGGTCAAAGGTCAAGGTCACATTGACCTTGTAAGCAAAAACGGTTTCCGATCAATAACTAAAGAACCTTAAGGCCTAGGAACTTCAAACTTGGTATGGTGATTGGTCATGATCAGTAGATGACCCCTATTGATTTTGGGGTCAAGGGGTCAAAGGTCAAGGTCACATTGACCTCTTGGGTAAAAACGGTTTCTGATCAATAACAAAAGAACCCTTAGGCCTAGGAACTTCAAACTTGGTATGGTGATTGGTTATGACCAGCAGATGACCCCTATTGATTTTGGGGTTAAGGGGTCAAAGGTCAAGGTCACATTGACCTTGTAGGTAAAAACGGTTTCCGATCAATAACTAAAGAACCCTTAGGCCTAGGAACTTCAAACTTGGTATGGTGATTGGTCATGACCAGTAGATGACCCCTATTGATTTTGGGGTCAAGGGGTCAAAGGTCAAGGTCACATTGACCTTGTAAGCAAAAACGGTTTCCGATCAATAACTAAAGAACCTTAAGGCCTAGGAACTTCAAACTTGGTATGGTGATTGGTCATGATCAGTAGATGACCCCTATTGATTTTGGGGTCAAGGGGTCAAAGGTCAAGGTCACATTGACCTTGTAAGCAAAAACAGTTTCCAATCAATAACTAAAGAACTTTAAGGCCTAGGAACTTCAAACTTGGTATGGTGATTGGTCATGATCAGTAGATGACCCCTATTGATTTTGGGGTCAAGGGGTCAAAGGTCAAGGTCACATTGACCTCTTGGGTAAAAACGGTTTCTGATCAATAACAAAAGAACCCTTAGGCCTAGGAACTTCAAACTTGGTATGGTGATTGGTCATGATCAGTAGATGACCCCTATTGATTTTGGGGTTAAGGGGTCAAAGGTCAAGGTCACATTGACCTTGTAGGTAAAAACGGTTTCCGATCAATAACGAATGAACCCTTAGGCCTAGGGACTTCAAACTTGATATGGTGATTGGTCATGATCAGTAGATGACCCCTATTGATTTTGGGGTCAAGGGGTCAAAGGTCAAGGTCACATTGACCTCTTAGGTAAAAACGGTTTCCGATCAATAACTAAAGAACCCTTAGGCCTAGGAACTTCAAACTTGGTATGGTGATTGGTCATGACCAGCAGATGACCCCTATTGATATTGGGGTTAAGGGGTCAAAGGGCAAGATCACATTGAACTTGTATGTAAAAATGCTTTCCAATCAATAACTTAAGAACCCGTAGGCCTAGGAACTTCAAACTTGGTATGGTGATTGGTCATGACCAGCAGATGACCTATTGATTTTGGGGTCAAGGGGTCAAAGGTCAAGGTCACATTGACCTTGTAGGTAAAAATGGTTTCTGATCAATAAACTAAAAACGCTTAGGCCTGGGAACTTCAAACTTTGTATGATGATTGGTCGTGACCAGCAGATGACCCCTATTGAGTTTTGGGTCAAGGGGTCAAAGGTCAAGGTCACATTGACCTTGTAAGTAAAAACGGTTTCTGATCAATAACTTAAGAACACTTAGGCCTAGGAACTTCAAACTTGGTATGGTGATTTGTCATGACCAGCAGATTACCCCTATTGATTTTGGGATCAAGGGGTCAAAGGTCAAGGTCACATTGACATTGTAAGTAAAAACGGTTTCTGATCAATAACTAAAGAACGCTTCGGCCTAGGAACTTCAAACTTGGCATGGTGATTGGTCATGACCAGCAGATGACCCCTATTGATTTTGGAGTTAAAGGTCAAGGTCACATTGACCTTGTATGTTAAAACGGTTTCCGATCAATAACTCAAGAACCCTTAGGCCTAGGAACTTCAAACTTGGTATGGTGATTGGTCATGACCAGCAGATGACTTATTGATTTTGGGGTCAAGGGGTCAAAGGGCAAGGTCACATTGACCTTGTAGGTAAAAACGGTTTCCGATCAATTAACTAAAAACGCTTAGGCCTAGGAACTTCAAACTTTGTATGATGATTGGTCATGACCAGCAGATGACCCCTATTGAGTTTTGGGTCAAGGGGTCAAAGGTTAAGGTCATGACCAGTAGATACTTGATAACCCTTATTAATTGTTTGATCACTGGGTCAGAAGTCATGCATAATAACCTTATTACATGA